GCTCGAGATGGCGGTCGCCTGAGCGGCGGGCCGCATCGCAGAGAGGTGGCCGCTGTTGTTCATTGAGTTGTTCGTGGGTGACCACAGTTTCCAGCGGCGCGCGGATTGCGTCGCCGTGTCTGAGGAGCTTGGGGGCGCCATCGCTCGTTATATCGAGCAGATCGAGGGTGGGGGCCTGCCCGGGAGGCCAGGGTTCTCTCCTTGCTGCTCCCAGAACTCGCAGATCTTGCCAGCGCTGGGCAGCTAGCCTACACCTGGACTGGAGGACGCGCCGCGATCAGCATGGAGTTGACAGCGCAGGGGGCGCCCGAGCCAGAGTCAGAGGGCGCATTTTGGGGTAGAGGGCAGTCGGCCGAGGAACGACGGCACCAGATCATCGCGTGTGCTTGACAGGGGGCGCGACTTGGCACGGTCGTCCGCTGTGGCCTGATCCCCTTCCCTCACCTAGGGCTCGGCGCGTTCAGGCATGGGCCCCAGCGAACTCAATCGGACTGGGCAGTTCGTGGCCAGCACTCTCGGGGGCGCCGCGATCGGAAAGGGCCGTGCGCTTCGGTTGTGGCTGCGCCTCGTTGGCCCTGCCGTTGATGTTTGCGCTGGGCCGCTCGTGCGTTGGGCTGCCGCTGTTTTTGATGGTGATGATGATGCCTTTTCCGACTCGGAAGCAGGTTGGGAGCGGGCCAGAAAATGGCTGGCCGCCTTGCTGCCGGCCAACCGATGGCGCCAAGTCTGTGGCCCAGCCTCGGCAGTCCTTGCCACCCTCCGCAAGATCGGATGTCACTGGCCCGCGCGCCGCGCGCGCGTCCTCCGCCGACCCCCCCCCGCTGCCATCAGGGCCGTGGTGGTAGCTAGAGTTGAGGTGCTGGAGCACACGGGGTGGGCCACATTCAGGGGTCCTTCGTTCCCCCCCCCGTTCTTGGAACCACTTCGGGTGGTCGTTCGGCAGGAGAAAATACCCCCGGGCGCCGGCGGGCGATTTTGGGATTTGTTTGCAAGCATTTCTGGACTCAGGGCGAAGTCTGGAAGGCTGTTCACGGCGATTCTCGCGAATGCCAGCTTTGCCAGACCCCTCGAGGCACGCGGCGCCGCCGCTTTTGTCATTGTCCTGCCCTCGAGGATGCCGGGAAGTAGGCGGCCGAGGATGCGCCGGCGATTGCGCGGCGCGCTCGGACTTCGCTCGACTCCTCGCCCCTCGTCGCCCGAGGTCGCGCGGCCCACCCTGTCGAAGACCCATTCGCACAGGCGCGCGCGCGCCGCCAGATGCTGAATGACGAATGTGGAGACGACGCTCTCGTTTCAGGCGACGCCTACTCCGACCGCTCGGGGAGTGGCCCTCCAGGGTGCAAGAGTTATGGTTGGTGCTTGCGTTTCTGTGCCAGGAGGGTCTGCGTTGAAGGCTGGTAGAGGCACTCTGGGAGGGCGCAGAGTGAGCGGCTCGGTGCTCCGATGGGAGCTCATGGGCCTGCTGGAGCTTCTCCGACGCGCTTCCCCACCTGTGCGGGTGGGAGTTGGCAGCGCCACTGTCGTCAAAGGTTTGACCAGAAGTGCGGTGTGGTGCACCCGCAGGCGACGCCCGCTCGCCGACCGCTGGCGCCAGAGTTGGCTTCTCATCCGGGATTCGTTTGCGGCCCCAGGAGCTCTCGACCTCGTCAGGGTGAAGGCTCACTCGGGCCGTGGTCCCGCGGGCTTCCAGGGCCTCGAGAGGCTCGACGTCCTCGGGAAAGCTTAGGCCGACATGGAGGCCAAGGCTGGGGCGGAGATGGACGGTATCCCGCCCTGGCTAAAGAAAGTCTGGAGCGAGCGCCCCACCGATGTTTGTAACATGTATATTTTTGTAGCTGGTACGACCATGCGTGCTGGCACCTTCCGGGACGCCGCTGGAAGAGAAAACCAGGGGTCAGGGGCTAGTGAAACGTGGCGGATTCGGGCCAGGTTTGGTCCTCCTCTCGGCTCCTCCCTTCGCTTCCTCCATTGGGAGAAGAAACTGACGATGCCAGAATTGGGGTTGCGGCAGGCGCGCATTTTGCGATCGGAGCAAGAGAATGCTGCGCACAACTGCCTGCCCCAACGCCCCAGCCAGAAAGTCACGTGACCTTCGTCCCGAAGGCTCCCGCCAGAGGCCACCGCTGCGCACGCATATCTTCACCCGTGCGGGCAGCTACCAATTCCGTGGCATTTGCGGGGGCTTCTCGGGTGGACGGGCCAAACGATTTTTGTTGGCCTGCGACGGAGAGCCTGCTACCTCGCAGGCGCGCTGTCGCAGAGGAAACTTATTCTTTGGAGAGCACCCCTACACGGGGGCGAGGGTTTGTGACGGACCTGCCGTGCCGCTCTCGCCAACCAGAGCAGCCGAGGTCCTCGCGGCACTGCTCAGCGCTGGGTGGCTGACGGGGGGCGACAGCGGCAGGAAACGCCACCCCGTCTGGCTACCAGCGCACACCTCTCAAAGGCCTCGTTTAGCAGCAAAACGCAGGCAGGGGGGATCAGGAAGAAGGGAGCTCCTCCTCTCCCTTATCCTCGTCCTCCTCCTCCTCTTCCTCCTCCTCCTCCTCCTCCTAATCTCCTCCTCCTCCTCCTCCTCCTCCTCCTCCTCCTCCTCCTCTTGGATTTGCGTCGACTGGTAGATAGGAGGGGCGGGCGTGAGACAGCACGTGGATAGAATCTCCACACCTTGTTGGTTGGGGCTTTTATTTTCCCGATGCTTTCCCGTGCTGGCTTGTTTTGTCTTGTCGCCCTGAAGTGTCCAATCCGCTCCTCTTCCTCCTCCTCCTTTTCCTCGTTATCTTCACCCTTGGCGCGAGGAAACATGCCCAACAACTGTGCTTTTTTGGAAGCGTTTCTGGCGAAGCCGGCGCCCGCGCCGGGAGAGTCCCGAACCGACGCTCTCGTTTGGGACATCCTCTCAAAATCGGCCCTGAGGAGGGGAGTGCGTCCTGGCACCGTTTTCCGGCGAATCTTGCGAACCTGGCGCCTGCGCCGGGAGAGTCCCGAACCGACGCCCTCATGCTCTCAACCCTTCTGATCCTCGCCCTCTTGGCCCTCGCCACGCTGATTCTCACTCTCCTGATTCTCACTCTTCTTATTCTCGCTCTCCTCATCCTCACCTTCCTGCCTCACGATCCTGATCCTCACCGTCCTCATTCTCATTTTCCTGATCCTCCCTCTCCTCGTTCTCGCCATCCTGCTTCATAGTCTTGATCCTAACTTTGTTGATCCGCACTTTCCTGCTCCACGTTTGCACGAACCTCACCCCAGTGATCCTCACCCGCCTGATCGTCACCCTCCTGATCCTCATTCTCCTCATCCTCGCTCTCCTGATCCTCATTGTCCTCACTTGCCTGGCCCTCACTCTCCTCATGCTCACCCTCCTGATCCTCGCCCGCCGCACCACCGCCGCCCCCTCAGTCTCACCAGCGTCATCGACCACAGGCGCACGCCCCTTCTTCGATGTAAAGCAACTCCCGATCAATCGCAGCGCGGCCGGCGGGCATGTTTGTGCTAGATGTTCGGTTCGGACGTGCGCGCCTGAGGCGTGCGCACTGAGATGCTCCGTCGTATATCCTCTTGCGCGTAGCCGTCGTGACCTGGTCCCTCCCCTTCCCCAGGCTGGCCGTATCGATCGTATGCGGGGGGGGGACCTTGACCGCCCCCCGCCATGCTGGTGCTCGCGCGCGTACCGTGGCGATCGCAGCGCAGCCCCTCCCCGACCTGCCCCTCACCGCCCACGCGTTACGGTTAGCCGGGGCCTCGACCTCTCTTTCCCCGGGTAGCGACCGTTACTTGAAGTATTCGACTAGACGTAAGCGTGACCTTTCGCCAGAGTGACCTTTGGTGCGGGCGCGGATGGGTACCCAGATGGCTGAAAACGAAGCAGTAGCAGCTGCTTGCGCACCCAGGTTTGGTCCCCCCGCGGCCCCCCAAAAGTCGCGCACCAAAGGTCACTCTTACCCAGGGTCACTCTTTCGTATAGCCGAAGTATCCCCAACCAAGTTCATAGTATTGATATGTCTTCCCGCGTCCCATGATTCGTTCTTGTGTGTGAGGAGGGCGTGCACACCGATCCTGGGCCCATCGCGGCCCTGGCCAGGGTTCGGTCGATCCAACTTACCTTAGGCGCCTTCCTATTTCAAGACTCGAGCTGCTTTCCCTCCACCTCTCCCTCTTGGGCTGGCTCCCCATATAGTTCCCAACGCCTTCCTGCTTCATGTTTCTACCGACTCCTTCTGACCGATGGGTACCCAGAGATCCGATGTAGTGTTTTTCAAGACAGGGGTCCCTGGAAGACCCGATCTGTCCCCCAGGGCTGGTTTCTCATCCCGAGTCGTTTTTTGACGGTCCTGGGTCCCGGCCGGCGGGGGCCTTCAGATATAGGCCCAGAAAGATCTGGGGTGCACAGACCTCCTACCCTGACACGTCGATTAGCCAATTGGCCGTTTTCGGTTCGCGAGAGGGCGTCGCGGCCGTCATTTTGCGGGTCCAGGCCCGTCGGTTTCGGTCCTAGGCCGTTTTCATTAAAGGGTGGTTGATTAAATGGAGGTTTTTGTCCACCGCCGAAACGACGCGAGCCTGTCTGGGCCCACGTCTTCCGGCCGACGGGCAGGTTACAACGACGCGACGAGCGGGACAAAATCGGATCGGGATAACTCGGAATCTCGGAGAGTCGGCGGGCTTGGAGGATGTATGGGGCGCCGCGGCCGCTCTCAGAGCGTTCTGGAACGCTCTGAGAGCGCTCCGGAACGCTCTGGAGCGATTCATCCCGATCCCCGTGTTGTCGGATGGGGGTCCCCGCTCGATCGGGAGCCCCCCCAGGGGTCCGACAACCCGCACCCAGACCCACAGCCAGTCCTTCTTCCTCCGACCTCCCTATGGGTATGGCCAGCCCTGGGGCCCCCCCTCTCCTCCTCCTCCTCCTCCTCCTCCTCCTCCTCCTTTTGCAGGTGTACAGCTGGCAGCCTCCGAGTGGGGGCCCCTCCCCCCGAGCGGAGAGGGCGCGCGGGGCGCAGGCGGAGGACTTCGTCGCGGGGCTGCGGCGGGTGGCCGGCGAGCCCCCGCCCCACCGTGCCCGGGCGGCCAGCGAGCGTCTCCAGGAATCGAAGGATTGCAAAAAAAACAAACGATTGCAAAAAAAAACACACAAAAAAAAAAAACGATTGCAAAAAAAAAAGATTGCAAACAAAAAAAAGATTGCAAAAAAAAGGATTGCAAAAAAAAGGGTTTTTTTTTGCAATCCTTCGTTGCAATCCTTCGGGAAAAGAACTATGCACATGCACCGATTCTGGCCAGGCCCATCCTGAGCCCAGGATCGGTGCATACGCCCTCCTACCTTGGCCAGGACGGCATATGCACCGATCCTGGGTCAAAAATGGGCCTTGCCAGGATCGGTGCATGTGCATAGTTCTCTTCGCCCGACAGGAAGTCGGTTCCGAGGGGGGGGCGGGCGTAGGCTCAGCAGAGACCCCCAACCGCCCACTCGTCGCCGATCGGGGTCTGCCAGCCCACCCCGCCTGTGGACGTTCCGCCACACCGCGAGGAGGCCCTCATCGGGCTGCTCTGTTCTGCTCTGGTCTGCTCTTCTCCCTCGCTGCTCCTGCGCGCGCCACCACGCACCTCGTACCACCAAGCAGTGGCCAGCGAGCGTCTCCAGGAGGTCCGTTAAGCAGTGGCGAAGCGTCCTGGCTCGCCTCTAGGCCTACCAAACGATGTTCTAAGAACCTTAGAACATTTCTTAGAACATGTTCTTAGAACATTTCTGGCGGAGTCTGTCTTGCTTGAACACATCGGGTTGATGCTCTAAGCACATTTTTTGTTCTCAGAACATTTTTGGGTTCGAAGAACATTTCGTGTGCCGGGACGGTCGGTCCTTGCTCAACAGCGAGCGTCTCCAGGAAGTCCGCGGCCTTGCCCCTGGGGGAGGGAGGGGGGGAGGCCTCTTAGAAGCCCCCCCTGCTCCTTAGAAGGCGTGAACCTGATCGATATCGATATCGATATTTATATATATATATATATAAACATATATATAGAGAGAGAAAGAGAGAGAGAGAGAGAGAGAGATAGAGAGAGAAAGAGAGAGAGAGAGAGAGCCAGCCAGCCAGCGCTTTCTAAGAAACAGCGTCCTTCTGAAGCCTTCACCCTTCTCCCTGCCCCCCTTGTGCGCGCCGCCAATAACTGTAGAAACATGAACTTTCGGAGCTCCACGCGGATTTGTTTAGAATGGCGCTGGGCCCCCCTGGCGGTGCCTCCTTCGCCGCCCTTGGCGCGCTCCGCGCGCCAGGGGGGGGGTCTAGCGTTGATCCCAAGAAGTCTTCGCGGAGCTCCGAAAGGTAATGTTTATGCAGCTCGTTCTTCTAGCGTCGTGATAAAATGACGACGGAAGGTTTTCGGCAGCTTTCTGCCTCTGGGGGCCCTCGCTCGGCTCCGGGGCCGTCAAAAGACGGCTCGGGATGCAAAACCAGCCTTGCGGAAAGTTCTGGGGAGCAGAAGAAGTATTTGCATCATAAATTGTTGGCGCTGGTGGGATTTCTTGGATCCGCGCTGGCCCCCCCCCCCCCGCGGCGCTTCCGGCGCCGCTCCTGTCGCGCTCCGCGCGCCAGGGAGGGGGCTCCAGCTCTGATCCACGAAATTTGCGCGGAGCGCCAACAGTTTATGTTGATACCGTTTTCTTCTTCCAGGGCGCATGGGAAACAATGAGACATCGAATGTCTGGGCACAGATCTCCGACGATACGGTTTCTTCAATTTGGCCTCCACAGTTTGGTCTTGGCCGAGCTCGCATGCCGGCTGTGTTGTTTGTCAGCCGAGGGGCCCGCTTCGGATCCCAGGACCATCAACATATAGCCCTGGTCGGTGTACTTGGCTTATCGCGACGGTTGCTAAGGGGATGGAGGGGGTTGTCAGTGGATGCGAATGCGATTATATCTGACCTAACCTGGCTTCTACTTCGGTAACAGCTGCCCTGAGTGACTCAAAGGGATTCGGTAACTCTGAGGGGGCTCCGCCCCCTTAATTACCCGTGATTGTTGCCCACCGTAGGCCGCTGAGGGCACGTGTCAGCCCACTCATGAGCTAGGTCAGGCCATACACTGCCCACCTTGGCATCCACTTAGGAGCCCTCATCTTCTCAGCAACCCCGTGATCCAAGTACAGTCGGGGCCCTGAAGAAGGAACCCTTTTCGTTGGGGAAGGGCTCCGCGTTCCTTAAGTGTTTCATAGCTTGCCTCAGGTTTTCCTTATGTTTCCGATAGGAAGTCGAAGCCTAACTTATGGAAAAAAGGGGCCTCGTTCCCATTTAGGGTTCCTTAGGTCAACGCCCCGACTGTGCCCAGAGCATCCCTGGAACGCTGTACTCTTGGCGAGCGTGGCCGGCCGCAGTGTGCGCCCCCGCCCCCGGGGGCACCCAGGGCCTCCTGCCTTGATTGCTTCACAGCTTGCCTTAGGTTTTTCTTAGGTTTTCGATGGGAAATCGAACATTTATCTGATAGGAAAAAGGGGCCTCGTTCCTTATTTAGGGTTCCTTAGGCCAACGTCCCGACTGTACGACTTTCCCCGAACAGCTTGTTGAGGAGAAGGGCCAGGAAGACGCTATCGGAGACGCTATCGCGTCCCTGGACATCCTCTTCCTTCGTCGACGCTACCGCTTCCAGCGAACTTCGCGTGCCCAGCGTACTTCGGTGGAGTGCTGGCGGAGCGTTTGTGGCGACGAACCCAACCATGTCCCTACACAGCCCGTCTGGAAGGGTCTGGTACACTGTTTCTAGGAGGGCGAGTGCGGGGCAGCCGTGGTCTGGAATCGGTTGGGCGCCATTGTCTCCCGTTGCCGCCAGTTGTCGCGCGTTGTCTCCCGCGTGGTCTCAGATGCTCTCCCGTTGTCCTCTGCGTCGCTCTGGGAGTCCCCTTCTATGTCTGGGGTGGATAGACCTCCTACCCCGACACGTCGATTAAGGAATCGGCCGTTTTCGGTTCGCGAGAGGGCGTCGCGGCCGCCGTTTTTGCGGGTCCAGGCCCGTCGGTTTCGGTCCCAGGCCGCTTTCACTGAGGGGAGGTCTACTAAAGGGAGGTTTGTCCACCGCCGACTATGCCCCTCTCCTTCTGCCACAGTGTAGAATTATCTACGGCCTTTCTCCGCAAGGGCGTCATCTTGTGCCGATGTCGACGCCCAGCGTCCGGTCTGGGCGGCTCTGGCTGACCCGGGGTCAGTCTGCCCGTCCGCCCACGAAGTGGCACCCCTCCTCGTCCACTTCGGAGCGGGGCCCACGCCCAAAGAGAGAGGGACAGAGAGAGGGACAGAGAGAGACAAAGAGAGAGAGAGAGAGACGGAAAGAGAGAAAAAAGAGACAAACAAGGAGAGAAAACATAAAAAGAGACAAAGAGAGAGAGAGAGAGAGAGAGAGAGGTGCATCACACTTGGTATTCCACGCAGTGTGGCCTCGCGGGTGCTGTCCCGAAGGCCCCCCGGTCTTGGCCTGGGCGGGGGCGAGACCTGCAGGGCGATCTGGTCTTTCTGTTCAGGTGCACCCATCGCTCGTTGAAGGCGTGTGGTTCTGGATCCCCGGGTTCCAAGCTGCTCTAGGCGCCTTCCCGTTTCCACCGTCGAGCGGTTCGGGGGGGGGGGCGGGCGGGCGCAGGCTCAGAGGGGGAAAGCAGAGACCCCCAACCGCCCACTCGTCGCCGATCGGGGTCTGACAGCCCACCCCGCCTGTGAACGCCCCGCCACATCGCGAGGAGGCCTTCATCGGGCTGCTCTGTTCTGATCTGGTTTGCTCTTCTCCCTCGTTCGTCCTGCGCGCGCCACCACGCACCTTGTACCACGTATGGCAGATTGGCGATTGTGTGAGGTAGGAGCTGTACACGAGCGTCTCGGCGCAGCCTGCTCAGCTTCATGCCACGCCCCCTACTCGGGTGCTGCCAGAAAGTGCCCCCTGGCCCAGGGTGCCCCCGCGATTTCCGGGAAGGCCCCCGAGGTCTCCAGAGCACCCCTCACGAGGCCCAGAGGGCCCCAGGGGCTCAAACATTGGGCGAAAAGCTAGGGGCACCTTGGGCAAGGGGCACCTATAGCAGCCCCCGACATACGCGCAAGGCCGAGCCCTGTCCTGTCCTGTGAATCTTCTTCCCCCTCGGGGCCCTGCGCGCCCGTGCGCCTCCTCTCCTTCCTCCCCTGCTCCTCCCTCGTTCCTCCTCCATCCTCCCTCCCTCCCTCCTCCCTCCTCCCTCCTCCCTCCCTCCTCCCTCCTCCCTCCTCCTCCCTCCCTCCTCCCTCCTCCCTCCTCCCTCCTCCTCTTCCGTAGCCATTTTGGCTCAAGATGCCTGGTTCCCTTGGGGCCAGAACGGATACCGCTAGTCCGCGGCTAGACCTCGAGTTTCTTCGCCTATACTGCAGGAGTTGGGCACCTGCACCAGTCTCATCAATTCTCACGGAGGTCCCTCGGTCGAGGGGTTCGCTAGCCTCCACTCACGTTCATTCATGGCCCATGATGGCTGGCACAGCGGTGGTGGGAAGCCTCGACAGCAGTACCAAGATCCGTGCCCGCACTGCAGGTACCGCTGGAACTTAAAGAACAACCACTGGTGCTTCCAGTGCACGGGGGCTCTGGTGGCGCAGCCTGATGGTTCGAAGCGCCCGCTTGGGCAGTGGGCTTTTGGTCCGCCTCAGATCTCGAACTCGCCGTTCCACGTTCAGCCAGCTGGGTCTCCCTTCGCCGACCCGACGCCGTCGCAGGCGGCAGCGGCAGCCGCCACGGGCTCAGGCAAGGGGCGTGGCAAGAAAGGCGCTCCTCCGCCGCCGCGGGGGAAGGCCAAGGCTAAGGCCGCCGCCTCCGCGGGCCATGTCGACAGGCGTCCGTGGGTATACCACCAGGGGTGGTACCCGTATGGCGGCGCAGCAGTTCCGCTCGAGCCAGCCGATCCGATGGCGGCCCTGCGGGCCAAGCTTGGCGACGACGGCACCGAGGAGCTGGCAGTTGTGGAGGCGCTCCTCGCCAAGAAGGAAGCCCCGCCTCCTGCTGCACCGCGGCAGCCGCTCCTTGAGGAGGACGTCTCAGCCAAGGGGGTGGCGTGCCGTCGGGCCAAGTCCTGGCTCGAGCGCTGCTCTCTCAAGGTCTTGGAGGGTGAGGCGTGGCTGCAAGAGGCGCGTGATGCTGAAGACCTTGCGGTCACGGCTGCGGTCGAGGCCAAGCGCTCGTGGGAGGAGGCCTGCGCGAAGCAGCTTCCTCAGCCAGCGGCGGCGCCACCCGCTGCTGCAGGTGCATCGTCGCTCAACTTGTCCACGCTCCTTGGCGAAGACAGCGAGGTCGAAGGGCTCACCATCGTCGACGGCCCGATGTTCAGCGCGGAAGGCCTCGACCTCGACCCTGCGGACCTTCGCGAGAGGGAGCGAGTCAAGACCAACCTTGCGGCTGGCATCAAGGCCGAGATCTCCAAGGCGCTCGGCATTCGAGCGGAGGCCAAGCAGGTGTCCTTGCGGATGCAAGCGAAGCGCAGGCGTGGCGATAGCGCAGGTGATGGCGCTGGCGCTAGTGCTTCTGCTCAGCCTGGTGGGACAGGCGCCGCAGGCTCTGAGGGCGACGGCGGCGGCGCTCCTTCAACCGGTGCCGCTGACGGGCCTGAAGAAGTTCGAGCTGCTGCCAGGCGCACCGCCAAGGAGTCCTTTGACGCTACCCGAGCAGCGCAGCAGGGACTTTAGCAGGCCTACCTACCCTGGCTTGCCGTCGACCTTCTACGGTGACATCTTCATGGGCGCTGCGGAGGAGCTCGCCTTCGATCCGCAGTCGTACCAAGCCAGCCTCTACAAGGTCACGCTGTACGATGGGTGCCCTGCGCCGCAGTCTGGCGACATTTTCCTGACTGAGGCGGAGGAGGCTCACTTCCTCCCCGTCTCTCAGCCCTTGTCGGGCATTCTTCAGCTTAAGGATCAGGATCCCCGACGCCGAGCTGCGGTTCACCATCGTGAAGTGCTTGAGCGGAGCCTCCGCTCCTTCGCTGCCAGATGGATCCCTGACGTTAGCTCAGCTAACGAGGCTTCGGACGAGGCCCACTGGAAAGGGCATTGCATGCCCTTCATCTCGACGTGGTTGTCTCATCCTTTGCTCAGTCCGCTTGTTGCAGAAGCAGCTGCTGCAGCAGGCCATGGGGGCCCTGCCATTGCAGCTCTTGATATGGCCAGGCGTATCTGTGAGCGCGCTTGGCGCGCTCGGCGCAGCCAGCGAGCTCGCTATTTGCAGATGCTGCGGAACTTGGAGTCCGAAGATTACGATTCGTGCCGGGAGGAGCTGCAGCGGCAAGCGATTGCGTTCATGGAAGCTCAGGAGACCCTCGACACACGGGCGCCGCAGCGGCGCGCGCAGGGTGGCTTCCAGGTGGTACTTCCCTCTTGCGGGCGCCCCCACCTTGCAGCGCCGCCCGACCGAGACAGTCAGGCGGCCTGCGCCCCTGCCCTCGGTCGGGCGACTGGCTGCGCGAGCTCTTCGGCAAGTTCGTGGCCTTCTTCGTCTTTGGGCGAGGGGCGCAGGGGTTCAGCCCCTGATCGTCGCAGCCCCTCGCCCACAGAAACTACGGCTACTGGCAGTTCTGCCTCAGCTTCCGCGCCCAGTTCGGGTTCGGCCAGTTTTGCGAGGATTACCACCTGTGTTTCGATGGCCACGAGTGGGTCTCAGGAGGCGTTAGCAGGATGCTCTTCCAGCACGTGGGGGATTTCCACGGGTGCTTCGTTTGCTCCGTCCTCGACTCAGATGGCATCGGTGCCTGAGGTTGTGGGTCTTGCGTCTGGCTGGGACGACGCAAACCGCGACCCCTTCGATGACCTGGATCACATGTTGGATGTGGAAGCGGCAGATTCCACCGACGCCGTGCCCGCATGTACTGAGGGTGCCGAGGGGCAGCAGCCTGCTGCTCCTGACGCCCCTGGCCGCCCTGCAGACCCCCTCCGCCCGTCTGCTTCAGATCGGCCCCCATGGGCTAATGGAGGGGAACGTCTCGGGAACGTGCCCGCAGCTGCTGAGGGCTCTAAGTTATTGGAGGATGCGGCCCCAGCCACGCAGCTCCCAGTACTGCGAGAGCTTTCTGGGCGGCCTGATCTGGTGGCCCCTCTTGCTGCAGATGATGGTTCATTTTTCTCTTCTGTCTGGTAATATTTCAAAATGGGCGCCACAGGCTCGCAAGTTTCTTAGCACCACCTCGTTCGCCATGTTGTGCTTCGCGGAGATGCACGTGTTCCAGTCCAGGTTTGCCGACGGCGTCGACCAGACTTTTGATGCTGACGGGTGGATGACTGCTTACACGAACAGTACGGCGACAGGCAAAGGAGGTTCCTCAGGCGGCGAGCTTATTGCTAGCCGCAAGCACCTGGCCTCCACCAGCTTTCAAAGTATTCGCCAGGCTGCAGTCAGGCATGGCAAGGCTGATCCATTCCGAGGGTTTGCATCCATGGTCCTGCACCTCAGCAGCGGCAATGTCGTCATCGTGGCCATTATCTCTGGCCTGGACTAGCTACATCAGGCCACAACCAGTCTATTTTGATCAGCTTGTGGGCTTTTCTGTCGGCGCTAGCCGACCCCTGGATTGTTGTTGGCGGCTGGAACCTGGAACCTACAGCATTTCTGCGTTCAGGATGGCCTTCGAAGTTGCAGGGCGAGATTTCGTATCCTGACGTGAAGGTAACCTGCGACAAGGCGGCTCAAGGTACATTGATCGACTATGGCTTGGTCAAGCGAGGCACCACATGTCGCTTTCGCATGCGAGGTTTTGCGGCAGTTCCGTGGAAGACGCACATTGCCTTGCAGGTCGACATCCTTGGGTCCAGACAGAGGTGGTGGCATCAGCGCCTCGTCGCGGCACCAGCCTTCCCGAAAGTCAGCCGTCCCAAAAAGCAAGCGGGCCCAAGCAGTGCAGCCTCGATTAAGAAGCAGGAAGCGCTTGCGCAACGTCGGGCGAAGCTCCCAGAAGATCTTCAAGCTGAATTTGACCTGCTCCACAAACCGGCTACGGCCACGACAGCAGAGGCTAACTCAGTCTCGTTCTATCTTCCCGAAGAGGTTTGGCCCTCAGGCACTATTGCTGTTCCACATCTCGGGGAGATCAGCCGACGCACGCTGAAGCAGCACTTCCTTGGGGACATTAATGCATCGGGCTCGTCGCAGCTCACCAGCAGGTACAACACCTGGATCACCAAGATGGAGATGGCCTTCAGTGTCCAACATCAGCAGGAGGACTTCGAACCTCTGCGTGGAGCAGGTCCCCTGCTAAAGTGGCAGTTGTCGCAGGCTGCTCCAGGCCGCGCTCATCTCTCTGACCCAGTGGGCGAGCAGTGGGGCATAGCGCACACGCTGGTATTACGGACGGTGTCGTTGGCCAAGCATGGGCGTGACCCCGAGCAGTTGTCCGATTGCTTTCAGCAGCTTCAGCGGCATGTTGCTCATTTTCAATCATCAGACACTGCTGAGCATTTTGGCACATCTGGTCAGGGGGAACGTGATCGCTGGCCTTGTTGGTCGGCCACTATACCCTCGGCCAATCATGACGAACTCGACGACTGGTCACATTTGACGGAAAGGCTTGCTCATCGCGCGCAGGCTCGCTCTCTCACATCGGGCAAGCACCAGTTCACCAAGTGGGCCCTGGAGCAGTGGCGTCAACATCCTGGACGTCTTCATGCGATGGCTCGTGGCCCTCAGCCCGTGGTGCATGAGAGTTTTCGTCGTGGGCAGGTTATCTCGGAATTGTCGGAGTTCATGGGCGACAAGCGGGAGGCCTGGCGATCCTTGTGGACTGACGCTGTTGACGACGCTGAGGCCATCACCCATATGCCTCAGCAGTTGCATCGCGAGGCTCTGCAAGACCCCTTGCCTCCCTTGGAGTTGGCGTCTTTGGAGCGTGTGGTGGCCGAGCTTCCTGCCAAGGCCTCAGGTGTCGATGCTCTTGCTCCTCGTCATCTTCAAAGGCCCCCCCCCCCCCCAAGGTCGGGTGGAATTCTTGGAGTTGCTGGGCCAAGTTGAGCAGGAAGGAGTCTGGCCAGCGCAGTTGCTTAGCACAATTTGCGCCCTCCTTCCCAAACCCAAGGGAGTGGAAAGGGTCATTGGGCTCTTAGCTGAGCCCGCTAAGATCTGGAGCCGCCTGCGCTATGGTGCCACCTCAGAGTGGACTGAAAGTCTGGAGGCGCACTGGGACGCTGCTATTGCAGGCAGCAGCGCCTTACGCGCCGCTCTCCCGAGGGCTCTCCTTGACGAGACGGCGGCGGTGCTGGGCATCACGGTGGCTACGTTGCTGCTGGACTTCGAGAGGTTGTACGACTCGCCGTCCTAGGTCCTTTTGGGCTGCGTTGCGCAGCAATTGGGCTACCCGCCCATAGTGGTATGCCTGGAGGTGCAGTTATGTGCGGGTCCTCGCTTTCTTCGTGGCCAGAAGGGGGCGTCCGACGCCATCCTTCCGACTCGGTCGTTGGTGGCAGGTTCACTCTCGTGGGGTGCGGTCATCCAAGCTCTTCCTGCACCCGCTGCTGCAGCGTGCTCAGTCCAGAGCGGATTTCATTACCTTTTGGACACTCAGCGACGATACTGTGTTGCGTTCAGAGGGACCGCAGAATAAGGTACATACTCGCATGGTCACGTCTGCTACTAAGTTCAAGCAGGGTTTGGACACTATGCGGTTGGTGGTTTCTTCTAAGGCGGTGCTCATTTCTAACGTGGTCAGCTTGGGCAAGAAGTTGGCCAATAAGCCCCGTCGTAAGTCGATTCCAGTTCAGTATTGTCTGGAGGCGGTAGACCTTGGTGTTGATGCTACTGGCGGTGGACGGAGGACGGTTCGCAAGTTTTTCCAACGCGCTGCTAACGCTGCTCGCCGCGCCGCTCGTCTGCAGCGTTTTCGGCGTCATGTGCGGCTCCGCAGGGTCTCGCAGGGCATGTGGAAGACTGGAGCGTTGCCGCAGGCCGCATATGGACATCAAGTTCATGGCCTTGCACCCTACCAGCTCCTTCGCCTTCGACTTCCGGCGGCCGCGGCAGGGGCGGGCCCGTTGAAGGGCAGGTGATTGACCAGCACATTAGCCATATTGCATGGTCAGAAAGACCCCGCCTTGGAGCTGAGACGCCAGCTTCTGGCCGAGTATCTTACGGTCTGGCGCCTTCGCCCTGAATTTCACCAGAGAGTGGAAACATGCTGGCCTGAAGTTCTTCGTCGCCTGGAGATTGCTGGGCAGTCAGGGCGATGGCGATTGGTCAAGGGTCCAGTGTCTGCAGTGATTGCCACGTTGCTTGATGCGGGCTGGAAGCCCTCCTCAGCTACTTCCTGGTGGCGCCCAGAGCAGGGTGGACTTGCTGAGTGGAAGAGCCCCGCATCGTCTCTGGATGGATTTTCTGGCGTTGAGATGGATGTTGGCGGCGTGCTTGAAGAAGTTATGCTTGCTTTTCACGCTCAGCTTTGGTCTCGAGCTTCTGAGCGCGAGGGAGCTGAAGATCTCGCTGGAGGTGCTGATCTCTATTGGGCTCGCCGAGAGTTTGTCAAGTTCTCGCGGAATGGGGGCTGCGACCAGGCTGGCCAGACACTTTGCGTGGCTCCTCGAGCGCAGTGGCCGCGCGTGCGCCAGTTCCCGACGGGCACGTAGGAGCAGCAGTTGTGCCCCAGGTGTCTGAAGGCGCCTGAGACTCTGAGGCACCGCGTCTGGGAGTTCCTTGTCCGCTCCCCTAGTGTCTCAAGCACTCGTTAATTGTGATATGAATCCTGCCTTGTGGCTTAGAGGTGTTCCCCCGACCGTCCATGCTCACCCTGAGTTTGCGCGCCCGCCCGAAGCGGAGGGTTTGAAACCTCTCGGTTCGACGTCCCTGATCGATTTGTCCTCTGTTCGCTCTGACCCCCTGGTCGTTTTTGGGGACGGTTCGGGAGGGCGTTTTATCTCCGACCCTCGTCGCCGCCGTTGTGGCGCGGCTGCTGTTTCGGTCAGGGGAATCCCAGGGGCGTCGACGTGGGAAGTGGTCGGGGGTGTTTCTGGAATCTTAGTGGGAAGAGCCCAAACGGTCCCCCGCTCAGAGTTGCTGGCTTTCGCCTTGTGCCTTGAGGGCACCACTGGCCCCGTTCATTATGTCACGGACCACTTTCCCTTGATTGCTGGTTGGGAGCGGGGTCGGGTCAGTGTGGTGGGCGGGAGGAACTGGGATTTGTGGCTCCGTATTAAGGCGGCTCTCGCTTCGCGAGGTGATGGTTTAGTCACCTTGGAGTGGGCGGCTTCTCACTTGGACACTGAATCGGAGGGCCTGACGGCCCACCAGGTTTTCCTCAGGTCTGGAAACCAACTTGCGGACCGCGCGGCCTCAGAGGCTGCGGAGCGTTCCTGGCACCTTTCGGCCCGTTCGGACCCTCGAACTGATTTGTGGGATGCTCAGACCGCCCTAATTAGAAGACGCGCGCGGCGCGCCCTGATCGACTCGGCCGTGGCCGACCCCAGGAAGGCCCGTCCTACTGTTGCGCCCTTGGAGAGAGCGAGGCAGGGGTCGAAGTTGGATCGGGCGCTTCGCGTCTCCCCTCATAAATTTGTGACTTTCGGCAGCGCGTTTCGTTGCAGGAGTTGCGAGGTGCGGTGTGATAAGAAGGACCTCTTAGAGGTCTCCAAGGCGCCTTGCATCCCTGCTGTGGGGGTGGATTCCTCCCCCTCCGACGTTGTCGTGGAGGTCCCTGGACCCGTCACGTTTTCTGGTGCGGTCTTGCATCCGTCCCACAAGCTTGCGTTTTGGGATTTGCATAGTTTGTATTTTTGCCAGAGTTGTGGCCGAACGGCTACTTCGGACGGGCGCCAGCTGGTGCTCGATTGTAAAGAGCCTTCACGCAAGGGCATCGAACATCTGGCCCGAATTCGTAGACGTTTGTACCCGAGTTACGCAGGCCCGTCCAAGGCGAGTGTCCTGCTTCGCCACGCTCGGTTTTCTGCCGCGGCCGATCAGCGAGCTCGAGCGCGAGATCCCATCCCGTCGGAATTGGCTGTGCTTCAGGGCATCGGAGAGGCTTTGGCTGTTGGTGAGGACGTGGCCCCTCTCGTCCCTCTCTCTGTTGACCCCAGCAACGATTCTGATTAAGGAGGGAGTGCCTTAGGCACATGCGCTCCTGCTTGCTGCTCTCTCCCTCTCTCGCCCTGCCCGCTCTCGTTGCACGATGTTGCTTGCCAAAACGTCCCAAAACGTCCGCCTTCCTCCCTCCTCCTCCTCCCTCCTCCCTCCTCCCTCTCTCCCTCCTCCCCGTGCTCCCCCGCTCGCCCGCTGGCGGCCTCGGCGCCCGGCCACTCCGCCGCCCCCCCCCCCCCGAGGCGACGGCGGGCCGCGCGCCGCCCGCGGCGAGCGGCGGCTCACCGTGGCCTCGGCGGCGCCTCCGCCGGCCCGTCACAGGAGTCGGGCCAGACCGAGGGGGGGGGATAGTAAAACGACGCGAAGATCGGGACAAAGTCGGATCGGGATAAGTCGAAATCTCTGGGAATCGGCGGGTTTGGAGGATGTATTGGGCGCCGCGGCCGCTCCAGAGCGTTCCGGCCGGAACGCTCTGAGAGCGCTCCGGAACGCTCTGGAACGATTTATCCCGATCCTAGCCTTGTTTTGAGGGGATAGGGGAAAGCACGAACGAAATGGGCACGGAAAGAATGGGTACACTGCTCAACCGCAGTTCCTGCTCATCTTGAACAGGAGTCGCTGTCCGCGCCGCCGCGGCCTGTGTCCATTTGAGACAGAAGGCCGCCTGCCCAACAGCGGCCGCTGTTGCTTTTGGACGACATGTGCTGTTGGGCATTGTACGCATTTTTTGCCGTACCCATATCGGGCGTCCAAAAAGGGGGGGGGTACGAAATCTGCTGCATGAGGCTGTTTTCAGCCCCGCCGAGGGGCCCATTCCTCGACGCGTGGCCGCCTCCGGCGCCGGGAGGCGCCTGGAAAATCAGTTGCGTGGGCTGATTCCCCCCCCCCCCCCTTGCTATCCCACCTTTCGCCCGGCCCGAAAGAAGGGGCAGGCGGCGAGGCGAGAGGACAATCCGATGCCTTGCAGTGGCGAAGCGTCCTGGCTCGCCTGTAGCGCTACCAAACAATGTTCTGAGAGCCTTTTGTGGTCTCTCCACGACATGTTCTTAGAACATTTCTGGTGGAGTCTGTCTTGTTTTATCACATCGGGTTTATGGTTTATGTTTAAAGAACTTCTTTAGAACATGTTTGGGTTCTTTAGAACATGTGTTGGTAGAGCTATAGGCTATAGGAATGCCGGGACGGTCGGTCCCTGCTCAACGATGAGTCGGAGCGGTGGGGGTAGCTCAAGTGTCGGAGGTTCAGGGATGGGGTCCTGAAGGATGGGGTCCTAAGAAGAGGGAGGATCCAAGGGTGGATTTACAGTGTCTGCGGCACCGCGTCCTCGGGACCCAATCCCTCAGGACCCCATCTTTCTAGGGCTCCTAGATGAGGTCGGAGTAGGTGTGGTCGGAGGATCGTGCCGCATCGCCGATGTATCGCCGATCTGGCTCGATGTGCAGCCCGATTTGCTTCACGTCGACGTCGCCGATGCATCGCCGACGTCGACGATGCATCGCTGCTGCATCACCGATGCATCGACGATGCATCGCCGATGCATCGCCGATGTATCGGCGATGCGGCCCGATCCTCCGACCCTATCTACTCCGACCCCATCTAGGAGGCCTCTAATCTTTGAGCCACCGAGAAGTGGCGGGGGTAGCACATATGGAGGGCCCAAGGCCACATCAGTAGGTGCAGCAGTTTTTGCACGGATGCAGTAGTTTGCGGGCTGGGCACACCAGCTGAGTTGAGGCAGTCGTGTCCTTTTTCAAGCACAAGAGTTTACGACCCTTGCTGTAGTTCGTGCCCCCAGCAAATAGTTCGCGCGAGAGCTTGCGCAATAGCTCGCACAAGCGGACTATAGCACCTCCCACCGCCCCCCCATTGGGGATGCCCCCATCGCTCCAGTCTGAGGATCTGGCGGTTCAAAGCTTCCCAGGCCTCCCAGATGGGGTCGGAGTAGGTGGGTTCGGAGGATCTCGCCGCATCGGTGACCTCGGCTCCTCGGAAAGGCCGCAGGGCTTCCCAGAAGCCCCGCCGCCTTCTGAGAAGGCCTGCCCCCTCGCGGACTCCAGAAGGCTCGAAGCAGAGCGACAACGCGTCAGGGAGGGCCGCCGTTGTTTCGACTGGCCCTCCAATCATCTCTCGAGGCCTTCCAGATGGGATCGAAGCAGATGGTGTCAGAGGACCGCGCGGCGGTACGGCTCGATGTGGAGCTGGATCGTCTCCACGCGGAGATCGAAGTAGGTTGGGTCGGAGGATCGCGCGGCCATGGTGCAGCTCGATGTGGAGCTGGATCTTCTCCACGCGGAAGTCGAGGCGGATAGGGTCGGAGGATCGCGCGGCGATGGTGCGGCTCGATGTGGAGCTGGATCTTCTCCACGTGGAAATCCAAGCAGATGGTGTCGAAGGATCGCACGTTGATGCGGCTCGATGTGGAGCCGGATCTCCTCCACGCGGAGATCGAAGTAGGTTGGGCTGGAGGGTTTCTCGGCGATGGTGCGGCTCGATGTGGAGTCGGATCTTCTCAACGCGGAGATCGAAGTAGACGGGGTCGGATGATCGCGCCGCGATGCGGCTCGAGGCGTGGCCGGATCTTCTCCATCGGGACTTCGCCGCTGCACCGCGGAAGTCGCCGCTGTTCCGCCTGCCCTTTCGCAGAGGTGCAGACCGCAGGGCGAGGACGAGCCAGCGATCCGAATTGACAGTCTGAAGCATGCTCTTTTCCTTATGCTTTGCATCGTCTCATCTCGATGCCAATCTTAGAGATCCTCTCAGTTTCTGAGGACGCATCCCTCAGATTTTCATTGCTCCTCGGCTTGTCAATCTCAGGAGTAGGGGTGAGCTCGAGACGGGTTACCAAAGATCATCGGACTCTTGGGGTCGGCTTGGGCTGTCTTGAGGGGCTTTTGGGCAGTCTTGTAGGCCTCTTTGGGCAATCATGGGGTGCTCTTCGGCCGTCATGGGCCCGAGAGTCCAAAAACCGCAGGAACAAACAATGCGGTTGTCTATGGAGGCTCTCTCGGAGGTCCCCGGAGGTCCTCTGTGGCCATTCTGGGACCTGTCCCTTGGGCCCTCTTCTGGCCATCCTGGGGCCGTCTTGAGCCTTCGTGAAGCCATCTTGAGCCGTTTTGAGGCCCTCTTGGTCCCTCAGGAAGACCAAAAAGCCAACATCAGTGATTTTCCGGAGGTTTTGGTGGTCTTTCCCGTGAGATTATAGGAAACGTGGAAACCGGTCGGCGCTTCGGCGTGGGCCTTGGGAGAGAAATTAATGGGGCCTGTCTTGCAGAGGACGATTCTGATAATGCAGCGCATTTGGGCTTCTTTGACGTATCGTGACTCGGCCCTGGAGTCACCCGTCCTGTCGGACTGCCAACTGCCAGGCTGCCAAGATGCTTCGCTGCAGCCTGGACGTGGGTTTTGTTCAAGAGGTTTACAGTCGGGGCCCTGAAGAAGGAACCCTTTGGGTGGGGAGGGGCTCCGCGTTCCTTGAGTGTTTCGCAGCTTGCCTTGGATTTTCCTTGGGTTTTCGATACGAAATCGAAGTTCAACTTATGTAGGGTTCCTTAGGTCAACGCCTCGACTGTACGCCACTCCGCCGACCCCCAGAAGAGGACGTGTGCGGCCTCCGATTTCGTGGGGCAGGGCCCTGGCGGCCCCTTGGATCTCCCCCTGTCAGGCTTCTCTTGGGCCTCCCTCTTTGGGGCCCTCCTGCGGGCTCCTTTTCGCCGTCTTGGGGGCCACAGGGTCGAATCGTACCACTCCCTGCTTCCCCGATTGCTCCCATCTCCCCCGCTGCCGGCGCGTGCGCCCTGCCTGCCCGGGCGAGGCCCTGCGCTGGGAGGACCAGCTGGACCACACGCCGGTGCGACCGCCGCGCCGTGACGGGGAATCGGGCGCGCCAGAGCCGAAGTTCGGCGGCGAGCCCAAGGGGGGGGGAGGCAGAGGTGGTGGGCCGTCTGAGAGGGTTCAGAAGGCCTCAGCCTTCCGAGAAGCTCTCGCAGCATTCTCCGCAAGAAGGGACGGCTTCTCCTCCTCCTCCTCCTCCTCCTCGTCCTCCTCCTCCTCCTCCTCCTCCTCCTCCTCCTCCTCCTCCTCCCCCTCCTCCAGTTGGGAGGGCTTCTCTGAGAGGCCCCGCCGCCCTTTGAGGAGGCCTGCCTCGCTTCCCTCCTCGGCGGGCCGCCCAGAAGCACACCCCAGGGATTGCCTGGCGGACGGCCACGGAGGGTTTGCCAGTGTGGAGGATCGAGGAGTTCAGCAGAGTGGTTCCCAAAGGGCCCTGGACGCATCCAGAACTGCCGCCGCGGGCCAACAAAAATTGCAGGAAAGAGGCGCGCTTCTTCACCCCACGCTTATTGCCTGCCCCCCCCCTGTGTCGAACACCCGAGAATGGTGGAATTCTGAACAGGAGGAAAGACATTGCAGCAACAACATCTAATTTTTGTTGCAAGTGCGAAGCGGGGGTCGGGTGGGGTAAAGGGTAAACAGATTGTCGCAGGATAGCCAAGATTGGTCAGAGCTTGACGCGACATAATCACCACTGCTGTCGCTACTGCTGCTGCTTCCGCAGCTCGTACCACCTGCGAGAGGGGGTCGTCTGCGCCGACAGTGGCGCGTAAGCTGCCCGCGTAAAGTCGCGCGTCGGCGCCCTCGTTCCCAATGTGGCGTGCCGCGCTGTCGGCCCGCGCAGATCGCGGCGCAAGGCCGCCGATTTCGCCGTCCCGCGGCCGACCCGTATCCTCTCTCGCCGCCCATAGGACGTGGCCAGCTTGGGGAGAGCTGCGTGCGTGCACGTGGCCGCGTGCGTTCCTGGCGCCAGGCCCTCGTGCGGCTAGACACGGAGGTCCTTCGCACGTGCCTCTGGCAGGTTGCCTTCGCGTGTGGTGTGTTTGGCTCCGGGCGCGAGCGCTTCTGTCGGCGATCGACGTCCGAGCCGTAGCCCTGCGGCTGAGCTCCACTCTCGGCGCCAGGTGCAGCAGAGCATGGATTTCTAAACGTGGCCTCGGAGGCCAGAATTTTATCCCTACAGTGGGGGGCCATGCCAAGAAAAACCCTGCTCGCCTCCGGGGTTCCTAGATTTCATGGGTTTTCATGGTTCTGCGATGGAAGACGTGACGTGCCCACACCAACAATCAATGGACTTCCTGGGGTCTCAGGGGTGGGTTTCTGGTGGAATGTTTCCTGTGGAATTCCCTCCACTGTATCCCCTCCCTGGCTCCTCGTGGGGTCGGGGCGTGAGCAGGGGCACGGATCAACTGGTCGATCGCCTACACCAGCCTCGTGGTGTTGTTGCGTCACTCTTCGTGTGTACCGATGCCGCTGCTGCTGCTTTTCCGTCCCGTTGCTGCGGCTTCCGCTCCTGCACATCGTCCTCGTGTTACCGCTAGCACGGCGACGACTACAACGAAGTCGACTCTATTTTTACTGGTACGACTCCTGCTTCTGCTAGGCAACTGCCCGGCACGCAGACCGGCGCCGGCCTGAACGCGCCAGCACCCAGACCGGGGGAATCTCATTGGTTCCCCTCAAGGGTTCGTACCAGACTCTCTTGAAAAGTTGCAGTGGCATGAAAAGTTAATCGAAAAACTTACGGACTCCGACTGGTGAGCTGACCGTCATGTTTTTTCCGGAGCGCTTTCGGCGAGGCCCAGTCTGAGTGCTGGTCCGTAAGGGCCCGGCGGTCTGGGTGCCAGTCCGTCCAGGGTACCCAAGCTCAAAGTGTACGTGTACTAGAGTGTGGCCTTTGCGCGTGTTTTAAGACATATTTGCACTAGCGTGCAACAGTTGTACTTGTACTAGTTGAATTGGCACGAGCGTGCAGGAGTAGTACTTGGTAGTAGTGCACAAGAGATGTATTTGTACTATTGTACAGCAGATCAGTTAGTACAATGTGTCAACAGTTGTATTTGCACTAATGTACGCGAGGTGTATCTGTACTAGTGTACCAGCGACGTACCTGTACTCGTTTACGGGAGGTGTATTTGTGCTGGTATGCCAGCGATGTATGCGTACCAGTGTGCGAGATGTGCATTTGCACTGGTGCACCAAAGCTGTACTTGTACTAGTGTACAAGAGCCGCCTTTGCACTAGTGTATAAGAGCTGTACACGCCGGTCGTTGAAAGTTAGATTTTTTTGATGTCCAGGTCTCAATCTACCTCAAGCGCGTACGCTTCTATGTTGCGTTTTGTGGTATGTCCCCCTGGTCAGTCAGGGCGCGGGTGGAAGCGCGGATTTCGTGAAATGAACTGGAGTCCAGGGTCTTGGAAGGGGCACCATAATAACGTACGGTGTCTGGGTGTGGAGTCGGAGGCCTGTATAGGTAAGAGGGAGCTGTTGGTTGTGAGGAGATCGGGCGGGACTAGGACCAGGATGTACCGTTTCAGAGCGTTCCTGTTCGCTCTGAGAGCATTCCGGAGCGCTTTGGAAAGGCCACGTTGCCCGATTAATTTTCCAGGACCGCCGGATCCCAGAGGTCACCGACTTGTTCCGGTGCGAATTCGTCCTGGTCTTGGCCTCTTCTCATAAGAGAGCCGTTGGAAGGGCGCCTGCACACGCCGCGTTGCGCAGGTGCTTGTGGACGGCGTTACCGGCAGGCAGACCAACGAGTGTGCGCCAGCCCTGCCGCTCCCTTCGAAGAACAGAGCACGGTAGAAGCATAGACTGTCTGTGTTCTGCGAGGATGTCTTCGATCGGCGCTGGGCGCCCCCCTGGTGGCGCCTTTGGCGCCGCCCCTAGCGCGCTCCGCGCGGAGTCCTTGGATCCGCGCTGGGCCCCCCCCGGGCGGCGCTTCCGGCGCCGACCTTGGCGCGCTCCGCACGCCAGGGAGGGGGGCCCAGCGCGGATCAGAGGAATCCGCGCGCAGCGCCCAAAGTTTATATATCTGCAACTGTTTCTTCTTCTATCCTCCTTTCCTCCTCATTTGTATGTGTCCCGCATTGCATCTATCCAGAGACGCCAGATTCTCGAGGCCACGCATCGCATCCGAAACCTGCCCTCGCCGATCAACGATTCAGGCAGCTCGATGGGCGGCAAGATAGGGTTCGGAACATGTCGAACACAACGCGCGATCCGAACCCTACCCCTGCTCCCCATCGAATCAGGAGAATCAATGGTCGGCGGGGGTAGGGTTTGGATGTCGTCACCGAGGGAGAGGGATAAACGTGGGGGCTTTGAGGACTGCAGGGAAGTGACCGCCAAGGGGCCCTATAAAAGACCCATGAACTGCCACAGCGGGCCCAAAGGGTGCACGTTTCTGCAGCCCACGCTCACTGTCTTTCTGTGTTAACGAACGCCCGACGGTTGGCTTGAGAGGAGCAAGATGCGATGATAGATACGTTCTCATCTTGCGAAGGCCCTCCGGCTGGTGCCGCCGACCCTGTGTGCTAGCAGGAGGAAGGAGGACCAGGAGGAGGAGGAAGAGAAGGAGGAAGAGGAGGAGGAGATCGAGGACCAGTGTAGACCCAAAACGCATCAACGATGTTGGAATACACCCTCCTTCCAAGCTCCTTCACAGGTCCCTACAAGGGTCCACTTCCACTGAGGGGAGTGTCCCGTTGGGAATCAACCGTGTGAAACTCCTGAAGCTTGCCAAAACACCATTCTCAGGATATTAACGCCACGAGTACACCTGACTGTTGCGTCTTGACGATCCTGAATCGCGCCGTAAAACAATTCCTGGGACAGCAACACCGCGAATCAACGGTGCAGTTGCGCCCCACAGTCTTGGATCGTTCTAAAAGAGAATTTCTGGAAGGATAACCATACGAATCCGCGAACCCCTTGCAAATGTTTAACACGAGTATGCTCGGCGCCAATGCGAGAACGACATTGTGAAAAGGAGCCGCCCTAAATCCGTGATGGTCTTGCATAGTCTAAAGCGAATGTGCGCTGCGCTAAGGCGAGAACCACATGTTGAAACATGTCGAAAACGAAGCGCCCCCAATCTGTGAAGTTGTTGCAATCAATGTGCAAGACGAATGTGCGTGGCACAAAGACGTGAGCCACATTTTGAAAACGAACCGCCCTCAATCCGTGGAACTCTCGCACATGTTTCAAAACGAATGTGCGCGGCGCAAGGGCGCGAGCCACAATTTGAAAACGACCGGCCCTCAATCCGTGAAGCTCTTGCAACATGTTAAGACGAATGTGCGCGGCGATCAGACGAGAGCCACATTTTGAAAGCGACCCGCCATCCATCCTTGAAGCTATTGCCAGCTTGTAAGCTTCAGGATCGTAAAATGTAAGGGAGTCTCAGGCGAAACGCCCGACCAGCCCTTCCGACTGGCCTCGGGGTACGACAGAGCGGAGTTAGCAACAAAGACAAGGAATGTAAAAGGAGGAGGAGGAGGAGGAGCAGGAGGAGGTGGAGGAGGAGGAGGAGGAGGAGGGGGAGGAGGAGGAGGACCAGATGGACCAGATGGGGGGCGATTTATGTCAGAGGAAGAATGCTCCGTCGGAATATTTCCTAGAGTTCCAGGATCCCTCTATCCTCCTCCTCCTCCTCCTCCTCCTCCTCCTTGAGCGTGTGCATCCGTGTGCATGCGTGGACATTGCGGTTGACCGATCTCTTGGACTGGGCTCCAGGTGGGCTGTGTGTCGTCTCCCGGAGTTGCCGACGCAGTGGCCGCGGCTGCAAGCGGTGGCGTTGGCATTGGGGTTGGCCGTGGGGGCCATTGTGTGGTTGTGAGGCAGGGGCCGGGTGTTGGAGGGGTGTCGTCGCATGCGTACGTCGTGGGTGGCGATCAGGGAGGTGGAGGAGCCAGGCCGTGCCACGGGCCGGCTGCCCGCGGAGCAGCGAAGGGTAGGGCGCAGGGCGTCGCCAGGCGGCGGGAAGAGATGGAGGAGCCTTTGCTGCCCTGCTTGGCGGTAGGGCCTTGTGTCTTGCTCAATTCAGGAGGGAAAAAAACAAACCGACACAATTAATCCTCGATTCCCCAGAAAATTATCCCAGTGCGACCCTACCTAGGAGTTGGAACCCCTAGGAAAGCAGCATTAGTAGTAACAGTAACGCTAAGCTAAAGCTAAGCTAAAGCTAAGCCACAGCTAAGCTAAAGCTAAAGCTAAGCTAAAGCTAAGCTAAAGCTAAGCTAAAGCTAAGCTAAAGCTAAGCTAAAGCTAAGCTAAAGCTAAGCCACAGCTAAGCTAAAGCTGAGCAACAGCTAAGCTGAAGCTAAGCTACAGCTAAGCTAAAGCTAAGCTAAAGCTAAGCTAAAGCTAAGCTAAGCTAAAGCTAAGCTAACGCTAAGCTAACGCTAAGCTACAGCTAAGCTACATCTAAGCTAACGCTAAGTTACGCTAAGTTAAAGCTAAGCTAAAGCTAAGCTAAAGCTAAGCTAAAGCTAAGCTACATCTAAGCTAAAGCTAATCGAAAAGCTAAGCGAACCGCTAAGCTACAGCTAAGCTAAAGCTAAGCTAAAGCTAAGCTAAAGCTAAAGCAAAAGCTAAAGCTAAAGCTAAAGCTAAAGCTAAAGCTCCCAGGGGACTGGGGGGAACCGCGGGGCGGGGACTGGGGGAACCGCCCGGGGCGGTTAGCATTGCCCGGCCCCTTTAAGCTAAGAGAGTAAGAACCCTTCTAGGCAGAGCCTAGGTAGGGAATATGGGAAAATATGGGAAGTGGGGGGGAAGACAGAAACCCAGAAAATATAAGAAGATACGGGGAATCCTTTTATTTGTGTGTATTTATTTGTGTGTCCCAGGGCCCCTTGATCAATGTGACGTGAGCGGGGCAGGGGAGGCGGTGGTCGTCAGGGTGGCTGTCGGGGATGCCGCACAGCAGCCTGGCGCAGTCCCGCCGTCGTGGCTGGATGCTGGCCGATGTTTTTTGGGGGCCCGCTGGGGTGTGCCAGGGTGCTGGCCAGTCGCGATGAAGTCTGCGGCGCGTCGGCGAACCGGACGCGCCGAATAGATCTGGTGTTGGGTGGGGCGTCGTCGGTTGGGCGGTCTTCGAGCTCCAAGCTACGTGGGGCTGGGCTGGGGTCTTCGTCGTCATGGAGGGTCGTGGCGTCCGTGCCGTCGGGGTGGCCGTGGCGTTGTGGTCGTCGCGGCGGCCGTCAGGCCGGGGCGCCAGGCAGGGCGTCGGTGAAGCGCACTGGCCGTGGCGAGGGGGTCGACAGGGGTTGCCCAGTGTTGTCGTGTAGGCTGGCGGGCCCGCCTTCGAGTTTGGCCCGCCGTCAGGTCGGCGATGTGGTGGGCCGTCCGGTCGGCCTTGGGCCGTCGGGTTGGCCGTCAGGCGAGGCGTCAGTCTGAGTGTCGTGGAGGCTGTCGGGTTGGCCAATGGCGGCGACTGAACAACTCACCCCCATACCCATAGAGGGGTCGGAGGGATGAGGACTGGTTATGGGTATGGGTGCGGGTTGTCAGACCCAGGGGGAGGCTCCCGTTCGAGCGGGGACCCCTGCCCGACAACACGCACCCATAAGCCCCCCTCCGTCACGCGTAGGGGCCTGTGTGTGTGTTGTTCCTTCGTCAAGTGGTCGGCCGTCGGTTGGGCCGGCCTGTCGTGTCCAGTCGGCGGGTCGGCGGTCAGGGGTGGCGTCGAGTCGGCTGTCAGCTGCTGGGTCTTCTGTCGGTCCGTCGAGTGGGCCGTCTGGCCGTCCGTTCAGGCAGTTTTAGCTTCTGGACGCGTAACCGAGGTATAGTCCCAGTAAGAAGTGTCGGGTCTGGGGGGTGCGTCGGGTCAGGAGTGGGGTGGGGCGTCGGGCTGTGCGTCGGGTGGGGCGTCGGGCAGGGCGTCGGGTAGGGCGTCGTCTCCGTCACCGCGGCTGTCGTCGTCTCCGTCGTCGTCGGGGACGATTTGGACTGCGCCGAGAGGGCGTCGGTTAGGGCGTCGGCGTCACTTGGGGCCTCGGGTAGGGTGTCGGGTGGGGGTTCGGGAGGGAGTCGGGCCAGGAGTTGCGCAGGGCGTCGGGTAGGCCGTTGAGCAGGTGTCGTGTAGCGTCGGGAGGGGCGCCGGTTGGGCCGTCGGTCGGTCCGTCCTCGCAGTTTCTCCTCGTAGCCGCTGTCGGCGTCGCCCTGTTGGTCGCGAGCCCGTTGTCATGTTTCTCGTTGCTCTGCCCGCGGTCGCCAGTGACGTCCTCGCCGTATTTGCGGTCGTGGCGGTCGCTGGCGTCGGCGTCGCTGGGTGGCGGTCGTCGGCGTCGTGCGTGGTCGCTGTCTCCGTCACAGCGGGCCTCGTCCTCGTCGCTGTGAGGGGAGCTGTCGGGAGAGCCTCGGGGCCTGTCGAGGGGGCTTTCGTGAGGGGGGGGGTGGCCAAGGGTGGCGTCGACTCGGCCGCAGGGTCAGCTGTCGGGTCGTTTGTCATGGGGGCCGTCTGGCCGTACCGTGTGGGTAGCCCTGACTGCGTTGCGGGGTGGTCGTTGGGGCGAGGCGTCGCGTAGGGAGTGGGGTGGGGCGTCGGTCTTGGCGTCGGATAAGGCGTCGGGTGGGGCGTCGGGCAGGGCGTTGGGCATGGTGTTGAGTCGTGGTGATGCGCCGTGGGAGGGCTGATCGTCGGGTAGGGCGTCCGTAGTGGGGGGGGTTGCGGTGGAGAGACGCGGCGTCGTCGAGTGTCGCGGGGTCGTAGCGTCCCCGTGGCAGGCGTAGGTAGTAGGCGCAGTAGCCGCACGCTGGGATGGAGGACAACAGCAGGAGAGCCTCCTTGTCGCCGTATGTACGTCGTTTGCGCCGGCGTCGTTGTGGTTGGCTAGGTTCGGTACGAATTCTGGCGCGCTGGCATTCGTGGTGGATGTCGTGCTTGCCGTTGTGGAGTTGCTGGTGCCCGTCGTCGTTCTCGTGGCGCCTGCCGTCCTCGCATGGTCTCTGCCGGGGAGCCAGCTCGACGTCTGCCATACAGAGGGTCGATCCTCGGCCCATGCCAAACTGGCCAGAGGGGCTAACTTGCTCAGATAACCGGGAGCACGCGCGCAGCGCGTCCCTACTCTAACATCCTCCTCCGCCCCTGAGATCCGACGTTGGGAAACAGGCGCAACATGGCAGAGCGTCACAGCCGGAGCCCTAGACCCTCTCTTTCGGAGGTGGATGGACCTCCTACCCTGACACGTTGATTCAGGGATTTGCCGCTTTCGGTTCGCGAGAGGGCGTCGCGGCCGTTATTTTTGCGGGTCCAGGTCCGTCGGTTTCGGTCCCAGGCCGCTTTCACGAAGGGGAGGTTTACTAAAGGGAGGTTTGTCCGCCGCCGAATCTTTCTCCAGCCAGATCGGTCTGTGACTGTCCCAGGGCCCGACACGGGGCGAAGACGCCCAGCACGAAAGGTTACAGTGCGCTTGGCATCGCTCGGACGTGTGCATTTTTTCGGCGAGAACTATCGAGGACCATCCTGGACCATCGAGCAAAATAAACAAAAACTCGCACGAAACCGAGATTAGCACGGGAAAGGGACGTCCGAGCGACGGCAAGTGCGGGGATCCCGAGGCCTGGCACCTCGAGCCCTGCACGGGCTTTGCCAGGCCCTGCGCGTGCGCCTCCCGCGGCCTCGCCTCGGCCACGCCCCCCCCCGCCGGCGCCCAGTGTGCGCGAAGATCTCCGAGCTGTGCATCCCGCCGCCGGATCGCCCCCCCGGGCAGGGGGCGGCCTGGCCTTGGTCGGGCCGGACGAAAAGGGGGGGATAGGGAAAGGCTGGGTCACGAAATCTGCTGCACGCAGCTGGGTTCTGCCCCACCGAGGGGCCCATCCCTCGATACCTGCCGCCTCCCGGCGCCAGGAGGCGCCAGGAAAATCAGCTGCGTGAGCCGATTCTCAGGACCCCCCCTTTGCTATCCCCCCCGTTCGCCCGGCCCGACTCGGGGGCACAGGGGTCACTCATGAGGGGCCACGTTGGGAGGGGGACAGGCTTGGGGTCACTCAGGGGCCACATTGGGCTCCCAGAGCTCCGACGAGGCGTTTTTTTCCAGCCCGAGCTGGTTCTCATGTTGGGCGGCCCTCGGGGGTCGGCATCGGACCCCAGGCAGGACCATCACAAACACAGATCTGGGACGAACAACCACCCCAGGGGACGCGGCCGGGACCCCTGGCCGAGGATCAAACCTAGATCGGCGGACGTCAGGGCTCGAGGGCTTCCGGCGTTTTCGTCGGTTCTCCTCGGCCTGCCAGCCTCGGGGTGCTCTCCAGCAGCGGCGCCTTGCCGGGAGCGCCCCGGGGGTGCCCAGGCCGTCCCTCGAGGCCGCCGGGGGAGCCGAGCCATCGCCCGCAAGCCAAGGGGCAGCGGGACAGCGTCAGAGGAGGATAGGCTCTGGGGGATGCTCAGGAGGGAAAAAAAACACAGACACAATTCATCGTCGATTCCCCAGAAAATATGGGAAAATATGGGAAGTGGGGGGATGACGAAAACCCAGAAAACATGAGAAGATATGGGGACTTATTCCATTTGTGTGTATTTATTTGTGTGTCCCAGGGTCCCTGCAGATGCCTCGACCCCGCGATCCCCAAGGCACCCTGATCACCGATAGGGGCCCGAAAAGCCCCCCCCCCTGAGCCAGTCCCCCACCGAACGCTGCCCCGCAGCTGCGAGGAAGGCGAGCACGGGGGCGGCAGGACAGGGGGGCGAAAGGAGGGCACGAGGCACGGCGATAGTGAGGCAGGATCAACGCGAGGAGGTGGAGGAGTGGGCAGTGAGACGAGGAGCGGAGCAGGAGGAGGAGGAGGAGGAGGAGGAGGAGGAGGAGGAGGAGAGGAGGAGAGGAGGAGGAGGAGGAGGAGGAGGAGGGAGGAGGAGGAGGAGAGGAGGAGGAGGAGAGGGGAGGAGGAAGGGAGGAGGAGGAGGAGAGGAGGAGGAGGAGGAGGAGGAGGAGGGGAGGAGGAGGAGGAGGAGGGGAGGAGGAGGAGGAGGAGGAGGAGAGGGAGGAGGAGGAGGAGGAGGAGGAGGAGGAATCAGGGGCGGGCAGACATTTGCGAATCCACGGCCGCTCCCGAAGCGGTCGTTTGTGTGCTCGGCAGGGTCTTTTTGATCCGATCGATCCGATTCGGTATCGATTCTGGTCGGCCCGATTCTATTAGAAGTCCGTGTTCCGCCGAGCCGATGGAGCCCGATCCAACGCACACGGAGATCAGATCTGATTTCCGCGTTCGATGGTGACCGATACGGCTTGGGGGGCCGGCACGCACCTGCGCACGTTCAGGTTCGCGTCGTGCCGACGCGGCGGCGACCCCGCCGCGGGCGTTCACGGTCGAACGCCGCCAGTGGCCCAGAATCGGCCAACAGAAAGATAATAGGCGATCCAAAAGCCGCCGTTCGTTCCAAATTTCAACGATGAACGCGGTGTCAGAAACCGACGCCGGGGTCGTGACTGCGCGAACCTGCCGCACAGGCTCCTTCTCCCGACGCCGCGGCGTGGGGGCATGCGCGGGAGCAGAGAATTTCGAACGGGCCATGGCGCTCGCGGCGGCGACCTCGGTCCTGCCATATCGCCGTCCTTGGTGAGAGGGATGTGGGGCGCGGGAAGCGGACGAGGCATCTCCACGTGGTCAAGCAGTGGCGAAGCTTCCTGGCTTGCCTAGAAGCCCACCAAATAATGTTCTGAGAACCCTTTGTGGTCTGCACGAAGTGTCCTTAGAACATTTCTGTCTGAGACTGTCTTGTTTGAACGCATCTGGCTTGTGTTCTACGAACACTGTGTTTGTTCTTGGGTCGTTTTGAATTCTAAGAACATGTCGTGGTTGGCCTACAGGAATGCCAGGACGGTCGGTCCCTGCTCAACATGAAATATTGCGTAGTGCCGATACGGCGGCGACCCCGCCGCGGCCGTTCAAGGCTGGACGCCGCCAGACATGCAGCCTTCATCTCGAGCGCCGTGCTGCGGTCGAGTTGGCGGCGCTCGATGTGCATTGGTACAGTATGCAACGCCAGAGCAAGGGAGGCCGCCAGCTCAATTGCAGTAACATATGCAAGGAAACAGGATTGGATGGCGCTGTGTTGACGCGACGGCCCCCCCCCCGCGGGCGTGTACGGTTAGAAGCTCCCAGCCAAACGGAATCGTTCTATATCAAACGATCTGCGCTATTGGAAAGCCTTGTTCGTTCAGGGTCAAACGATCCACGTCGTGTCAGAAACCCGAAGTGCAGTCGTCACAATACGAATTTGCTTCACACAACACACCGGCCCGGAAATGTCACACCTGCCAGGGCCGATTCGGTGTGACTGGATTCGCCGACTGGGGCCGCGATTCCGATTCATTCCGATTTGGGTTCGATTCACCACCATCGGCCAGTGCCGGCCAGAGCAAGGCTTGTGAGGAACGTCCCGGAGGCCTCGTTCGGCGCGCAATACTTGTAATGTCTGGTCCGAACGCCCACCCCGTCAGATGTGGGACGACGCTCGCGCGGCGATGTTCCGGCGTGAGTCCGAGGTAAATCCGACGTTACTCCGATGTGAATCCGACGTGGACCCGACGTGGATCCCACGTACACATGGTTTAAGTTGCCGCGCGAGGCCTCCAGGATTTCCTCATGTGTAACCAGGCGCCACGATGCGATTTCGATTCGATTCGGGACGAATCGTCGGCGCCCCGATCGGTTCTGATGCGATCCGATGTCGCGATTCAAGCTAGCTCGGGCATGTCCGCCCTGCGCTATCGACTGCTCACCCCCCCTTCTTCCGAGGAGCCAGAGAGAACAGGAACGTACACTTTGGGAGATCCTCGCGGATTTCTTGGATCGGCGTTGGCCCCCGCTCCCCGCCCACCCGCTCGGCGCCTTTGGCGCCGCCCTCCGCGCGCCAAGGACGGGGGCCCAGCGCCGAGCCAAGAAAGCCGCGCGGACCTCCGACAGTTGATGTCTAGGCCGAACCGAGGTGGCGGTGCGAGGAGGAGGCGGTGACGAGGGGCGAGCATGAACAGGACACAGAACGGAGGGGGGCGAGGAACCTCGCCCTCGCACCCAACCTCCCTCCTTCTCTCTTCCTCCTCCTCCCTCCTGCGTCTCCTCCTCTTAGCTGTTCCTCGGTTCTTCGGCTGCTCGCCCCTCTGGTCTGCTCGGAATGGCGGGGGGTCGGAGGACGGGTGGAGCGGGCTGCCTCGCACGCAAGCCAGGACTTCGAGCCCACGACCGCGCGCGGCGCCCAGCGACGCGCTCGCCGTTGTCACCTCCTCGCGGAGGGGGAGGAAAAAGGGTGTGAGAGGAGGACGACGAGAAGAAGAAGGAGGAGTCGGAGGAGTAAGGTAAGGACGAGGATGAGGAGGAGACGGCGGAGGTGGAGGCGGAGGCGGAGGCGGCGGAGGATGATGATGATGATGAGGAGGAGGAGGAGGAGTAGGAGAGGCGGAAGAAGAGGCGGAGGAACGAGGAGGAGGAGGAGGAGGAGGAGGAGGAGGAGGAGGAGGAGGAGAAGGACCAGGAACATAGGAGCATACGAGCATGTTCGCAAAACATGGTGGCTGTAAGAGCAGGAGGAGGAGGGAGGAGGGCTGAGTAGAAGGCAAGAAGCAGGATGAATAGGAGGAGGACGCGGGAAGAGGAAGTAGGAGGAGGGAAGAGGCGGTTGACGGAACACGGTCCGGAGGAGGAGGAGGAGGAGGAATAGGGAAATTGAAGAGAGCAGATGAGGGGAGAGGACGAGGAAGAGAAGATAGAGCGAAGAGTAGAAGGAAAAGGAGAAGGAGGAGGAGGAAACGAAGGACAGCAAGGTGGAGAAGCGGAGCGAGGAGGCTGGAGAAGTTAGCATCGCATGGCCCAGGCGGTCTTGTCTTGCCCGACCGGCGGGGTGGCTGTTTGTTGCAGGCCGCTTCGTTCTCTGCTGTCGCGGTTTCGGGGGATCACGAAAAGGCAGGCGACTAGTCGCACAAATCCTGGGCGCCGATCGTTCGGGGTAAGCAGTTGGAGGGAGCCGCCAGGCCAGCTATTTCCACGTTGGCGTCGAGGTTTGGTCAAGTACGCTTTCAACGAAGCATAGTACCTCCATCTCGAGCGCTCTGATGCGTTCGAGTTCGCGACACTCGGTGTGCACAGACGGGTTGAGCAGCACTAGCGCAGCGTGGGCCGCTAGCACAAGTGCAGTAGCAGCGACAACAATGCAGTAGCTTGGCGCCGCGCTGACGCGGCGGCAACCCCCACGAGGGCGTTCATGGTTGAAGCCCCCAGTGGAGCGGAGTCGGCCGATGCCGAACGATCTGCGGTATTGCAAAGCCCTTGCCATTCAAGGTTGAACGATCCACGTTGTGTCAGAACCTGATGCCAGTGCTTTCGCGACCTGAGCCCAATGTATTCAATCTGGTCTAGCTTGTTATCTGATGTACTGTATGCCGTGGTACCCGGGGCCCAGGCCCGGGTCGGGACGCCCTCCTGGATTTCCCCGCCTTTCTTGCCCACGACATGTTTGATCCCTTCGCACTCTTTAGGCGTTCTAGTGTATTCGCACTTTGGTATTTGACAGCGTCCAAGACGGCCCAAAAGGCTTCAAAGATCGCCTCAATATGGCCCGAGAGGCCCCCAGGGGGGTCCCAGGACGGCCCAAGAGAGCTCCGAGACGGTCAAAGAGGCGCCCAAGACTGAGAAAACGAACCCCAAGAGGGGTCCAAGAGGGGGGACTCCAACTGATGGTTCGAGCCCTCCGCTCCCAGTGGGCCCACGGGCCGCCAGCAGGCCCCCAAGAGGCCCCCAAGAGGCCCCCAAGTGCCCCCAAAGAGGTCCCCAAAAAGCCCCCAAGAGGCCCCAAGAAGCTTCAAGAGTCGCTCCACGAGGTGCCCGAGAAGCATGCCACCAGACTCCGAATGCCACCAGACACCGAGTTTCAGATATCCCAGAATCCTCTGACCCCAAACTCAGGCAAACTAGCGGTATGGGACGAAAGCCATACATCAACAAGCAATGTGTTTGGCGACGGACCCATCCTTCTGCAGTCACGTGCAGCCCAGGGCGGGCGGATCTCTCTCCACCTAGTGCGCGCCGCGGGGCAAGGCGGAACTCGGGCTGTTGCGGAGGATGCGTGCGCAGGTGCGTTGAATTTTTTGTGGGGCACGATCCGCGTGGAGGGTGTGCCGAACAAGTCGGATGCCCCCGCGCGAACACGCCCACTCAGGCCGCAAGTGAACCTCCTCTGGGCACGACCCGTGCGGGGCATGCTCCGAAATGGGCGGGTGGACGCCGTGCGAAGCTGCCAATTGGTGCCATAGGTGGAGCTCCTTCTGGGTTACGATTCGCGTGACGGGTGTGCCGACATGGGGGCGCTGCACGAACCTTGCGCCTCTGGGTCTGCAGGTGGTGTTCCTCGTGGGCTCGATGCGCGTGGTGGGGTGTGCCGCATTTGCCAGGGGGGTACGCAATGCGAATCCTGCTACTGGGGCCGTAGGTTTGTGGAAGTCGATTAATGGAGAGGAAGCATGCTGTTAAACAATTCCCAAATGTCAAAAACATGTTTCAAGCATGTTTTAAACATGTCCGTAGTCATTCTGGCTCAAGCAATTTGCGGCTCAAGCTTCTCCAGTTCGGAGCGTGCTCTCTGCAAACGGAACGTCGTGCCGAGATGGCAGCGCTGGCATCGGTTTGCAAGTATGAGGAGGCCCCGCCAGAGACGGAAGCGCACATGAGGAAGTGCTGGCACTTTGAGATGAAAGGGGTCGTCGTGATGAATCCCCTCGTGTTCATTTGCTCGACAATCTTCCTGTGGGTCTTCGTGATCCTCTGCTGCGTTGAGCCAGACTACATGAAGTTCGCTATGGACGAAGTCGCCTGGGGCTGGATCCCTGAGGTGTGGACATGGTTCTACATCGTCTCGCAGGACATCTGGGTCATTGTCTTGCTCTGGGCTATGGTCCAGCACGGTAAGCTGAAGCTCGGAAAGGACGACGATGAACCGGAGTTCAGCACTGCGACTTGGTTCTCAATGTTGTTCTGCTGCGGTGTCGCCACAGGCCTGTTCTACTACGCAGTTGCGGAGCCGATGTGGCACTTCAAAGGCTGGGGTTCTCCAAGGTTCCTCTCCACGGTCAAGGGCTACGGCAACGTGGACGAGGACGCGACGCACGCGCTGATGGTGAGCGTCTTCCACTGGGGCGTTCATGGCTGGATCCCCTACGTGGTGATGGGGGCTACGCTTGGCATCATGACTTACCGGCGTGGATACCCAATGACCGTCCGGTACGCGTTCTATCCTCTCATTGGCGACAACGTTTATGGATGGATGGGAGACACCGTGGATGCCCTCTCCATCGTGACTTCTATCGCAGGCGTCTGCACGTCGCTCGGACTGGGCGCCATGTCGATCAACGCTGGCCTGCAGCGCCTCAGCTGGGGGACTCACCACGGGGAGAATTTTGCCATCCCGAACGAGGACAAGTATTCAGTTCCTGGATGTGGTGGCCAGGGATATTCCTGTGATGATGGTCAGGAATCTTTCGGCATCCAACGAAACACGACGACCATGATCCTCATCATCCTGATCATCACCTGCATGTCGACAGTGTCGGTGGTGATGGGCCTCGGCTCTGGTATCAAGTTCCTTTCACAGTGCGTCTTCGCAATGGGGACCTTCTTAATGATTGTCGTGGCGTTGAACGGCGAGACCTACCTCATTCTGGACAACATTGTGCAGGTTACTGGTTTCTACTTGTGGTACATCGTGAAGATTGGATTCCATTGCGACGCTTGGGAGCGTCTCGGCTCCAAAGACATGGGGCTCGGTGGTTCTGGCACTAGCGGAAACAAGTGGATCATTGATTGGACCATTTTCTATTGGGGATGGTGGATTTCTTGGGGCCCGTTTGTTGGCACATTCATTGCGAGGATCTCCAAAGGCAGGACCCTTCGAGTTTTCATCATGTCCACGCTCATTGTGCCCACCCTCTACAGCATTGTCTGGTTCTGCGTGTGGGGCACCGAGGGCATTCGCATGCAGCGCATGGCAGACTCAGCGGGCCTGTGCTCTCAAGCTTACGATGGGGGATCGTCCTGGTCTGATCAGTACACTCTGACGGATAAGCAGAATCTGAGCATGGGCTGGACCCCCGGGTGCGTGCTGGACGATGCTTACCACGGCGGATACGGCAGGTGCAAGAGGGCGAAGTTCACCAGGTACGTGGATCCTTCCCAAGACGGAAAGGGCAAGCAGTGCGTTAAGCATACCTCGTGGGAGGAAGTGCCGTGCGGCGCGAAACCCGATCCTACCGCAATCGACATATCGGCATACGAAGGTACTGAGTGTGAGAAGTACATGACCGAAATCAACGAGCTGGCCGCTGACAATTACAACCAGTTCCCGAACACCAGCCAGCCGGACTGCTTCGTGCCTCTCCAGGATGGTACCGTGTGCCTGTACAACCAGGCTACGGCAGACATCCTCTTCGACCAGATCTCCTCGTACGGTCCGCGGGGCTACTCCGACATGCTGTGCGCGCTCACGCTCATGATTTTGACGTTCTATTTCGTGACCTCGTCGGATTCTGGATCGTTCGTGGTGGACATCCTTTCCTCCAACGGCCACCCAGACCCCCCCGTGTTTCAGCGCGTCTTCTGGTCCTTCACAGAAGGGGCCACCGCCATTGCCTTGCTGTACTCTGGCAACAACGCCAAAGATCCAGACGCTGCTCTGAAGGCCCTCCAGGCGGCGTCCATCATCACGGGCCTGCCCTATACATTTGTCATGTTTTGGTGCTCGCAGTCGCTCGTGGTCTTGTGCCAGGAGGAGAACGGTGGGCTCGACCCTAACCGGAAAGCCTTCTCAACGTTCATCTTCAACGCGAAGAATATCGTACTTCACTTGAAGAACACGGCCGTGCCTGGCTTAACCATGGGCAGGGCTGTGGTGCACGTCGGCAAATGGCCTTTCTCTGGCCTCGGTCCGGGCGTCACGTTTGGCTTGTGGACGGGCGCCTTCTCTTTGCTGTACTACATGGCAATCATTGTCACCATCTGTACTGCGGCCCTTTACCAATGGGCGCTCATCGGCTGCACGTTCTACATCGGGTTCGGTACCTTCGTTGGCCTGCTCCGCAACCACATGCGCGTGAAGCACTTCATCGAGCATGGCGACATCGCCACGGACCTTCTCTGCGGCATATTCGCGCCCATGTTCACCCTCTCCCAGATCGAGGCGCAGTTCACGGTGCCGATCGAGAA